TGCTACTGGAAATCAGTGGAGGAATAGCTCCTGAAAGAATGAAGAGACGAGCTAAAGCAAAAACAACATCCAGTTGTGGATGTGACTGGTGATGGAAGTAAAGTCTGATGCTGTAAACGGCAATGTTGCATAGGAACCTGGAATGTTAGGTCAATGAATCAAAGCAAATTGGAAGTGGTCAAACAGGAGGTTTTGCATAGAAACTAATATATCTTTTTTAAGGGGGCAGGAAGAGAAGGGGATGACAGAGGATGAGATGGTTGGATGGCATCACCGACTCGATGGGCATGGGTCTGGGTAGACCCCGGGAGTTGGTGATGGACAGGGAGGCCTGGCATGCTGTGATTCATGGGGTCGCAAAGAGTCGGACACGACTGAGCGACTGAACTGAACTGAACAAAAAGTAAATGTGATTGTAATTCATCACATAATATCTAAGTCTAGTCATTGTGAACTTTTCACTGTAAGATAATCATGTGTGTGTATATCAATTGTATGGAAGTGCATCCTTCCTTAACTATGCAGTATTACATCTTGGGGGAGAACTGGAGAATTCTTTTTCAGCCATACAAGGATTATTGAAATTTTATCTCTTCAGTACTCTATGAGAAATTATGTTGTCTTAAAAGGTAGAAATGGCAAATTCCCTCTAAATCCATATGTCTGTTCAACTGTCTCTCAAAAGTAAACTAGGTTGAATTTGCATTTACTCAGTTCTAGGTAAATAGCTAAGTAAGGATAACCACTTAGGATGATATTCATGAACATAGAATACTGACTAATTCATAAATTCAACCAATGAACATGGGTGAGATCAGAAGTTATTTCTTGCATTTAAACCTCAGATAAACTCTGAAAATCATTTACAAAGATATATTAAACTTATAACAAAGCATAAAATTATGACAGCCAACATATGCATATATATTTCCAAACACCACTTACAAAACAATACAAGAAGCAACAGAGAAGTAATTAAAAAAAAACTTTTTATTTGTTATTGTTATAGCCAATTATCAAACAATTTTATGATAGTTTCAGGTGAACTGGGAAGGGACATGGTCATACATACGTTTGTATCCATTCTCCTCCAAAACTCCCCTCCTGTCCAGGCAGCCATATAACATTGGGCAGAGTTCCATGTTCTATACAGTAGGTTCTTGTCCGCTATCCAGCTTACACATAGCAGGGTGTACATGTCCATCCCAAACTCCCCAACTATCCCTTCCCCCAACCCCCCCACCCAAACCCCTAAAACCATAAATTGGTTCTCCAAGTCTGTGAGTTGCTGTTTTGTACGTTCGTTTGTATCATTTCTCTTTAGATTCCACATATAAGCAATATCATACAATATTTCTCCTTCTAACAGAGAAGTAATTTTAAGTTCTTCCTTAACTTGGTTTCTTGGTTTCCTTTCCTTGGTTTCTTACTCAATTCAGATAGTTTAACAAAAATATAAACCAATTTAAAGGAATTTAGTAATATGTTGTTATGGCATAATTCCCATAAATGGTCGTTTAAATCCTATTATATAATCCACAGGTGGTTACACCTTCAGAAACAAACTTTCGAGGAAGCTCACCATATGGTGGAAGACCAAATCTTAACTCACATCCCTGAAGTAAATCCAAGTATAGTAGTCTTTGTAAGATTTGTAATTTCTTTTGATGTAATTGATTTTTTATTCCTTCATACAATATTCTGTAAATATTAATATTTATTGAGCAGGTACTGTGTGCCAGATACAGCACTATTTGTACTAAGAGGTAAAGAGGTCTAAAATAAAACAACAAATTACTTAACTCTAAAGGCCTCATTGTGCAAACAGAGAGGAAAGACATCAACTAGGCTCTGTGCTAAGCATTTCTGGTAGGCATCTCATTGGGACATATGTAACAGGGGGCTTTGCAGGTGACTCAGTGGTAAAAAATCCTCTTGCCAAGCAGCAGATGTAGGTTCAATCCCTGCGTGGGGAAGATCCCTTGGAGAAGGAAATGGCAACCCACTCCATTACCCTTGCCTGGGAAATCCCAAGGACAGAGAAGAGGAACCTGGTAGGCTACAGTCCATGAAGTTGCAAAGAGTTGGATACAACTTAGCAACTACAGGACACAAATGTAACAGATACACAGTATAGCCCTTTATGCAGGTGAAGAAAGTGACTCAGGGAAAGTTACTAACTTGTAAACGCACTCTATTGTTGGGTTGTAATTGGCAGGACCAGGAGTAAAGCCTGTCATTGCAGGGCTTTAAGCCTGTGCTTTTAGAGCCCACGATAAACTTTGTGGTGCTGCAAACTCAGGGAAGAGAGAACTCTAGGGTGGGGCCGGAGCTGGTGTCACACAGGAGGTAATATTTTAAGTGCATCTCTAAATAAGTTGTGGCAAGGAGAGAAGGTTGAGGTGGGAAGGAGAGCACAAATAAGTGTGCTCACAAATAAGTATGCTACAGGCAGATCCTGTGGAGTAGCTCCAAAGAGAATAGCATGTTTTCCAAAATGCTGGTGGTAGGAAGAGTGTTTAGGGTGGGATATGAGGCTAAAGAGGTTGATAGGAGTGCCCTACAAAAGGCCTTGTGTACTATCTACAGTTTATCCTTTAGGACTGGAGCAGAAGCAGCCTCAGGTTTGTGCTTCAGAGGTAACTCTGTTAAAGAAATGTGGAAGAAGTTGGATTCAGTGGGTGGTGAGGGCAGATGGTGGTGGTTGTTCTGCTGGTGGGGAAACTGGAGTGAAGGAGCCCAACCGACTTGTTCTCTGTGAGAGATGGTCAGATTGTAGAAACTAAAAGCTGTTGAAGGGGAAGACAGAAGAGTGACATATCTGACACATAACTTGACGTACTGATGCCCCAACTGAATGTGAAGAGGAAAGGAGGTGAGGGAGGGGGAGGAGTCTGGATGATGTGATCCTCAGATTCCTGAATTAGTGAGCTGGGAGGGTGACACCCACTTCCTGATGGAACTTTAGAAAAGCAGTTAGTTGATGGTGAGGAAGTAATTAATTCACTTTTGGATATGATGACTGCGTGCCAGCCCACTGAGAGATATCAACCAATTAAGGGACATATCTGGGGTGTCACTATTTCATGAACGATCCCACTCAATAGCCACCCTTCACTCTTTATTCTTTCCCTGCCAATCCTATCAGTAACCAAGTTATGTCAACGCTACCTCCTTGGTATGTAATTGCCACTTACATAAATCTTGATCATTTGGATTAGTGTGTGCAATGCCAAATAACTGTGAACACCTTAGCATTTCTACAAGGCCCTTCACAGTCAGACACTCTCCAGCTTTATCCATTTTGACACCGCTCTGTGTAGAGCCTGCATTCCAGCCATACTGAAGCAGCTGCAGTTCCCAAGAGTTCTTGTTCTCAGTCAATTCTGCATCCAACCATAAAGACACGTCTCCAACTCCAATCCCCATCTCTGGCTGCACACCAGGGAGAGGCAATGATGAGTAAGACAGACTGGCCCTCCAGGAGTGCCGAGCAGATAGTCAGAAAACTGGTTCAACTGAGTCATGTTTATGTCCATTCCTTGAGGTTCACTGAGCAATAGCCAGACTCCAGGATAATCACTTAAATTAAATAATCCTATTGCAGGGAATCTGGTGGGTTACTTAATCATTACATAAAATAGATCTTTCATGCTCTCATGTTGTTTTATTCTACTGAGAATCCAGGCTCCATTGTTAGATAAAAAATTGTTTTGTAAATGCTGCAATAAATATCTATGAAAAGGTACAGGTGTATCAATTTCTCTTATCCTTTCCAGTATCTCACTGCTTTAGTAGATCAAATGTATCAGAGATACCAGTAGCTGGGAGTGAGGCTTGGAATTAGTGAAAATGTAGAAGTAGTTCTATTATGTAAGCCATAATACATAAAATGCATGTAAAAATTTAAAGGAGCTTGTTTTATTATGGAGGAAATGACAAATAAGCAAAAAAAAAATTATAATAAAATGTTCTGCTGAATGCTCAGAATTCCAAAAATGTCTTGGCTGTAGATTGGATTACCTGCAACTGCATCATTACCATCCGATACATAGAAAGTGAAATTATTTATGGACAGATACAGAAGAAAATTTTATTTGGTGAAGACAACGTTTTACTCAGTACAGATAAAAAAAGTTTATAATTATTGTTTAAAGTAGCCAATTCAGAGTAAGCCAAAATTATCCCAGAGAACTGTTTATATTAAAAACAGGTTGAGAGTTTTTTGAACTGTCATCGCCCCCCAAATTGGAAGATAAACGCTCTTCTTGTGAAGATTTCTTTCAAAACTTCCAGTATGGCTTCAGGGGAGACAAAAGAAAGGTAAATAGCCTGCAACCCACATCTCGCTTAACAGAATGATTTATTTTTCAGGCCTATTAATCGGTGACAGGAATACATCTATTTTTTTCTAACTGCTCCAGGTTTAGTCATCCCTCTGAATCTAAATTCTGAGAGAAAGGAGAAAAGCGTTGGTTTTAAGACCTCGGGCGCTAGCATTCATCATGCTGCAAATGAATTTTGGCTCCATATGAAGGTAAATTGCTCAACCACTTTTTGCCTCAGTTTCTCTTATCTATATAATGGGGATTGTTGAAGGATTAGGTGAGATTGTACAGACAAAATAGGAAGCCCTCAACATAAGTCAGTTACCATGAACATGTCAAAGGTTTCCCTGAGTACGCCACTTAGCTTTTCTTTTTCAATATTAGCATAATATAAATGGCATTAGAACGTGAGGGGCAGGAGCCACGTGATCCTTCCACGAAAGCCACTTGTAGGGGCCTTCAGAGAGTTAGCAATAAAGCTGGGAAAAGAAAGGCCCGCGCGCCCGCGGCCCGCGCGCGATTTCCCGCCGCGCCCGAGTCCCCGGCGGCGGGCGGGCGGCCTCCGGGGGCGCCCGGGCCGCGGCGGCGGCGGCGGCGCGAGCGGCGCCTCCGGGCCGGTGAATCATCCCGGCAGACACCGAGAGCCGCGGCAGCAGAGAGCAGCGCCGAAAAATGGCTGAAGCGGGCACGGGCTTTCTGGAGCAGCTCAAGTCCTGCATAGTTTGGTCTTGGACTTATCTCTGGACCGTATGGTTCTTCATCGTCCTCTTCCTGGTCTACATCCTGCGGGTGCCCTTGAAAATCAACGACAACTTGAGCACAGGTAAGGCCCGGGCAGCCGGGCCCGCGGCGCTCGCCCTTCCCCCGCCCCGGAAAGTTAGTGCAACTCGCGCGGGGCCGCGACTGGCGGGGGTGGCGGGGCGCGCGCTCGGGGACGCGCCGGCGCCCGCGCACCGGACGCCCGCGGCCAGCAGGCGAGGACTCGGCGCCTCAGCCTGGGGGGCCGGGCGGCGGGGTCGACGGGACGTGCGAGGGCGGCCGGCGGCCTTCCCGGCCCCGCGGCCCAGTGACCCTGCGGAGGAGGCGCCGCGCCGTGAGGCGGCCCGGGCCAGGAGGTTACCGCTCCTCCGCCTGAGGTGCTTCTCGGCGGGCGACTGAGGGGACGGAGGTCGGGAGCGAGGGAGTCCCCGCGGACGCCCCTCGGCTGTCTGCGCGTGAACTCCGAGGGCTCCTCAGAGTTGGACCGTGTCCTCCCTCACACGCTGTCTGCCGCCAGCGCCGAACATCCGAAGTGTAGTCGGACGAGGCGTCCCTCCCGACACCCGCGCCTCTCCGCCGGTCGCGGAGCGCCCCCGTGAGGGTGCTACCCATCGGCGAAGCCCCCCCGAAGAAGCCGACCCCGCACCTGGGGCCCCCACTCACCCACCCCCAGAGTTGCGAGTTGCGGGGATAGCGGCGTCACTGTTATAGACGGGAGAGAGATTCTCGAAGGTACCATCAGGGCTATAGATGACGTGTCAGGTTACCAGAGGGAATGTCACAGGGACAAAAGTAGAGACAGGAAATCTGGAATTTAAGATGATTGTTAATGGTCTCAGCCCTTCTCTCTCTCCTTGTTCCCGTTTGCATAAGGCTTTGGTAACTAGTCTTGTTCAGGATCTTAGATAAAGCTCCACATGCTAAGAAGGGAGCCCCGCAGGTCTTGTATCCACGGTCGTAAGTGCCGAAGGTAATTAGAACAGGATCTTAAACTTGGAGCCAGCCGACTGAATCATTAAAAAACAACCACAAAGAAAACACACACCAGCAGTAACACCCGAGAGACAAATCAAGAACACAAAGTATATTTTGCAGGAAGGGCTGTAGTTCTTGAAGTCTGGAAATACTTGTGGGAATCGTTAGAAAACTCTTTTTTTTTAAAGTTGACAGTAATTTGGGAAATCCTTTCAGTCTTAACTGAATATATATGCATTCTGCTTAGTGTGTGATTTACATAATCAGAGAGTCGGGGTCTGGAAATGCATTTTCCTGTGTGTTAACTACACAAATAATTTTTAGAGCACAAGGTAATGTACACATTTTGTTAGGTACTTGTGCTTTTAAATGGAAATCTTGATTAACTTGAACTCATGTTCATATTTATATTTGTTTTGTAATATCCCTTGGGATCTTATTCCTGGGATGTAGATGAATTCTGCACCGTAGAATCATCTTGCCATTTTTATGGGAGTTGTTCAGCCCTTGGATTCAGTTATCCTAGAGATAATGGCTTTCTGACTTTTCATCTATTATGAGTGGCTGCTTATCACAATACTGTCTCCTTGCTTTTGGCAAATATATCTCTAAGATAAGTTCTAGTCCCAAAGTTTTGTTATTTTAAGAAGTTGCTTGAATATATATGGCAATGAAATCTTGTATTTGTTGGTAAGTGGTTTGATTTTTTTTTCTCCCAAAGAATTCATTTTGAGGCTTAAAAAATGTGAACCTTTCTCATTTAATGCACATTTAAATTTTTAATTTCAGAACACACATTTGTTCAGTTACTCGGTCTGTCTAACTCTTTGCAACCCCATGGACTGCGCACCAGGCTTCCCTGTCCATCTCCAACTCCTGGAGCCTGCTTAAACTTATATCTATCAAGTCGGTGATGCCATCCAACCATGTCATCCCCTGTCATCCCCTTCTCCTCCTGCCTTCAGTCTTTCCAAGCATTAGGGTCTTTGTAATACTTTGTAATACACATTTGTAATACTGCGTTTTCTTTGTTGTTGTTCAGTCACTCAGTTGAGGCCCCATAGACTTTAGCATGCCACTATCCTCCTAGCATGCCTTTGTCCTCCACTATCTCCCAGAGTTCGCTCAAATTCATGTCCATTGAGTTGGTGACGCTGTCTAATCATCTCATCTTCTACTGCCCTTTCTTCCTCTGCCTTTTTCTTAAAGTAGTTTAAATAATCATCTGTGAGCGTATCTGTGTGCATGTGCCCATAAGTGCCACAAACCAGTGTTTTATACACAACAGGCAAGGAGCAAAATTGGGAAAATGCAAACATTTTAAGGAATAAAATTGTTAGGTCCTCTCCCAACAACTTTAAATCTTTTTCTCAAACTCCTTTGTTAATTTGCATTAGCCTCGTTAACTCACTTAGGCTTATAAGAGATAGAGAAAACATGAAGATGAAAAGACCATCTGCGTTGAATCTCATTAGACGTATGATGGAACCCGAGACCATTTATCCCAGTGATGCTGGGCTTCTATTTTCATTGTAGCTTTACGTAGTTGTAGTCATACGGGAAGGTAAAAGAGAAGCACCCAGAGACTCATCTCTGCTACTTCTGTGAGAAGGTGAAGGGAGAAGGCTCCTCCTATGTGAACTTGTCCTGCCAGGGAGATCTGAATGGGTTCTAAAGGGACTCATTTTGCTGTTCCTAGGCCCTGTGGTGTTTGCTTTTCTTGTGATGATGAAGGTCCCTGAAGAGGCAACAGAAGCTAGAGCTGCTTTTAGGAAGCTGTGGGTGGCCCAGGCCTCCTTCCTTAGGCAAGCTGATACCGTTGGTTGATTTGTAGATATTGAAAAATCCTTGCATCTGTGGGATAAATTCCACCTGATCATGGTGTGTGATCCTTTTAATGTATTGTTGGATTCAGTTTGTTAGTATTATGTTGAGGATTTTTGTGTCTATATTCATCTGTGATATTGACCTGTAATTTCCTTTTTTTGTGATATCTTTGTATGGTTTTGGTGTCAGGGTGATATTGGCCTCATAGACTGAGTTTGGAAGTGTTCCTTACTCTGCAGTTTTTTTTGGGAAGAGTTTGAGGAGAACAGGTGTTAACTCTTCTCTAAATGTTTGATTGAATTCACCTGTGATGTCATGTGGTCCTGACTTGTTTGCTTGAAGTTTTTAAATTTAAATCGTATAATGAAAAATGAATTTTAGGAAAGACAAAGGAGAAAACAAGCATATTAGGAACACAGTGGTTAGCTTTGAAATTCATTTGTGACCACGTTCTGCCTTGAGTTGGATAGAAGAATGTTAAAGTAGTTCTATGATTTATTGAAAGTATAATGCACTTTTAATAAGATTTTTGAAAACCCCAAATTATATTGTTACTTGTCAGTTTTCAAGTGAATTAGTTATCCTAAAGCAGTGCTTTTCCAAAAGGGCAGAACATTAATTGTAGTTAGGAGCAGTCATGCAGGATGTTATTCGAGAAAAAGCAGTAGCACAGATTAATGTTTAAAAAATAGCACTGTAACTTGCTATGTATTGTGGTGTTGATAGCACATTCTCATCTTCCCTATGTTCTGAGGTTTTTAGATGCTGAATTTGAAACACTTTGCACCTTTTCTTAAATGTACACCTTTTGACATTTTTGTACCAAGAATCTTAAGTGATTTTCCAGTTCTTTTTCTGTTTCCTGGAAAACAAGTTTTCAAAGATCTTTTAAATCCTATTGTATTCCTTTTGGAAAGCAAATATATTAGTCTAACCTAAGTTTGATTGTTTTGTTATAGAACTCTTTTTTGGTGTTAATTAAGATGATAAATACAGATGCAAAACTTTTACATTACTGAATGGAAATATATATATAACTTTGGGTGCAGTTCAGATTTGCATATTTTAATATTGGAAATAGTTGCTCTAAACTTAATTAACACTCTGTATTTCTTGTCCTGAGGGCCTTGTTGTAGTTTACTTAGGCTTTTTGCCCCTGATGTACCTATTGTCTAAAATGTTTTTTCCCACCTGTAAATCCCATCCATGTTTCAAGGACTAGCTCGAATGCTGCCTTCTGATTCTCTCAACTGAGTGTGATATTTCCTCCAGTTTTCACTGTACATTATCTGAGAGGCATGTTGACAGTTTTTACCTTGCATTAATTATGGTTGTGTATGTTTAGTATATTTTGTTGGCCAAATATTTCTTTCAGGTTTTTCCATAAGGTATTACAATAATACCCAAACAAACTTTTTGGCCAATCCAGTATGTTTCAGTGTTTGTATATATGTGTCTCTTTCTGTATACATACTAGACTACTAGACTCTGGTTCTTCGTTTTCCACTATACTTCCTTGCACATAGTGGTTCCTTAACATTCATTGCATGAATCAGTCTCAAAGTTGTGGTGTACTCAGTGAGTTGGGATGAGAACAATGAAATGGATCAAACACATCACTGGCTATGTGCCTTATTTAAGTTTTCAGCTTTAGATAGAGGTCAGAAACCGTCACAAAAATTTAAGAAATTCCATGGTGAGTCATATGTATCTAATCCATGGTGGTCCAATTTATGACCACATAAAAGGACAATTTTATGATTGTCAGTTTTAAGTTGAGAATAGATCCCAGACGTCTTAGTTGCCTTTACTTACTTTTGGAGACATTTCTCTCAGCCATAATGAAGCAATCTGAATGATGCTTTTTTTTTTTTTAAGATCCTTAGTTTCTGTACATGTTTAATGACAACTTTATATTCCTTAAGATCCTTTCTAGCTCCAGAATTCTGCTTCAGTGACTTGGGATAAATTTCATTGAGTGCAGAGTCTGTAACTGAGCAAATACATGGACTTGAAAGAAAGAGTTAGTCACTCAGTTGTGTCCAACTCGTTTTGATCCGTGGACTGTAGCCTGCCAGGCTCCTCCGTCCATGGGATTCTCCAGGCAAGAATACTGGAGTGGGTAGCCATTCCCTTCTGCAGGGGATTGAACCTGGGTCTCGCGTATTGCCGGAGAAGGCAATGGCAATCCACTCCAGTGTTCTTGCCTGGAGAATCCCAGGGACGGGGGAGCCTGGTGGGCTGCCGTCTATGCGGTCGCCC